TATGGCTAAAAATACTAAAGTAGTGTCTAATTTCTTTCTACCCAAATTCTCTCAAATGTGTGTCTAAGCTCTAGATCACTTCCAAACTTCTAATACACCTCATATCACCTATAATCAATTCTTTTTATATTAATACAGTACATGAAAGTGTTGGTTTTTTGTGGAGTCTAGTTTGTATATGTGATCAGGATAATGACCCGACCCGAAGTAATATTGTGTGATTTTTAATAGAAAATTTTTCTGACTTAGTCCATGGAGCGAAGGCTTGGGCCCATTATATAGCCCAGTGCGTAGGACATATAAAACCCGTTATTTTGGTGATTAGGGTTAATATGGTGGATTGTACAACCACTCTCTGTATTCAACTCTCTCAATAGTGAAATCCCTGCAACTTCGTGGACGTAGGCAAATTGTCGAACCACGTAAAATCTGTGTCTTGTTCTTTCTTGTTTCTTATTGTTTTATATTCTTGATTTGTTCTTCGATTGTGTGTGTTTGTTAGTGGATTTAAATTGTTGTTAAATCCCAACAGAAAGTCTAATATAATGTAAAATAATTACATGGGGGCTTATAAAGAGATCGAAAGGGATGTTGAGAAAGTAGTAGCCCTACTTTTTGGCTTTTACTTTGTCAAAAATCCTTTTTATTTTGGGGAATGGGACGAGAAGTCCACCACCTGCACATACTTGGTCAATCTGGATAGGCGGGTTACTTTTTTGGTTGATAAGGACAATTCCATGAAAAAAGATAAATTTATCCTCATTTTAAAAAAAAACTTTGAAGATCAATTGCACCATGCCAACAAAAACTTCAAAACCTCAGAAGGGTAAGACAATGAAAAACAAATATGAAATCTCTTATACCCCATCTCTCTCCTCTCTAACTTCACTTCTTCTCTCCATTGACGAATTTGGATGCTCTGCACCTTTCGATTCCCACCGATGCTTCCACCACCATTTGAGACACCACTGATAACTTTGCTCTCAAACCCCTAATCCTCAAACTCAACATTTGCAATGACGATTGGAACATTGTTGGTGTTTGATGTACATCGCTAACTCGTTCTTGACTCTCATTGAGTGGATCCTTCTAAAATGTTTTTTTCTTTTATATGATTATTATTATATGATTTTTTTTTTGGAGACCATGATATGATGTATGGGTCATCAATGATGGCTCTCATTTAACTAAGACTCAAATTGAAGGATAACTTACCTAATTCTACCATTGATTGAATTCTTTCTCTCTCTCTCTCTCTCTCTCTCTCTCTCTCTATATATATATATATATATATTGGCGGTTCTTTGTATATCCCGCTATAGTTCTTGTAAACACAAGAAAACTTCTTTTAGATCACAATTATACTACTACTAGAAAAGTAACTCTAATATGATAACTAGTCTATTTGGGCAAGAACTCCTAGAATATCTATCATTCTAATAATAATGAATCATAAAATAGTGGAAGGACTTAGTGGAGATGGAGAGGAAATTTGTTTTGCATACTATGAAATATTTGGCAAATTTCATTATTCAATAACAGTGAAATGTGTCCAATTTGACTATCCAAAAATAGTGAAATAGGTCAAATTTCGTTGTCCATGGTAGCGAAATAGGCCCTGTTTCATGTCTAATTTATCGTTAATCTCTTCGATATTTTTTTGGAACGAGTTTTGTGGACTGACCTAATTAGACTATACAGTGAAATGATTATTTGTTATTTAATTTATTTCACGAATCAATTTTTCTTTAATGTCTTAAATACTTTTACGAAACAAAATGGATGGACCATTCACTTTGTTAGACAATGAAATTTGTCCAATTTTCACTTAGTGAAATATGTCAAATTTTACTATTTTCACTATCATTATAGGAAAATAGAATAATAAAATATGCATTTCATTGTTCAATTTATGCTCAATATGTTAAATATATTTGTAGAACAAAAGTGGTGGATTGTGTAATGCCCCTAAGACCGAGGATCCTTTGTCAACCCATTGATCACCCATCAACTCGCAGAAGTACCTATGAATGTCGTACAACCCGACATACATCACATCAAGAACATCCCCTTCACTAGGATCATAAACCACACAGCATTTGGACAGAGTCTCCCTTGTCCCGAGCACTCCCAAATGCATATCTTATGTACATTTAATCATTTGACCCATCCAAGGTATAATAAACGTCAATTTATACTTATCATTACCTTATATACCCCCTTTGAGCAAAAAGCATCGATGCCTGAAGGCTTAGCAAGAGCATTTTAAAATTTTGAAGTTTGAAGAAACCTACCAACAAAAGAGCTCTAGTTCCTACCCGTAGAAGTGCTCATTGGACTTTTACTTTCAAAACTGAAGGGAACCTACTCGTAGAAGAAGCCTATGTTCTATCGATAAGAAAACCTTCTAAAATTCTTTTACCGGTAAGAAACTTGACGTTCTACCAGTAGAACTACCTACTAGAACACTTCTACCAATAGAAGAACCCAATGTTCTATCGGTTGGTGTGCCCAATTTTTCCCCGATTCATCCCTTTTCAATCCAATTCATATATCATCAACTCGAACTCATATAAGATGAAATTTTACATCAAACACAGTTCATACAAGTTTGATTACAATCCAATTACATGTCCAAAACTAATTTACATCCTAGTTTTACAATAACAGGATTTAAAAGTCACATTTCGGCTTTTCTTCATTACTAAGGGCCTAAGTGAGAGCCGTCTACCTGTGCATGTCTCGTATATGAAATATTGTCCCCATAAAGGGTGAGTCATGCTCAATAGGGTATCTCCTAAAGAGGCTACTCCCTAACCAATACGAATATGAAATGTTCACATGCAATTTCACAAGCAACATTAATCCATTCAAGAATATGTAATTCAACAATGGAATCCGCTATGTCAAGTCATGATATGAGATGAGACTCACATATGCCACTCAACCCGAGCCTTCACCGACTCCCTCAACACATGCAATGTTATGGGTATGAAACCAGGCATTCCAAGCCCCTATCATTGACGTTACACATTCAATGACCATTTTATAAATAAAACTATGTATCTTTCTTGGTTACACGGATTCTAGTGTCTCATCGCCGATTCCACACATCGATACACTTTTTGGAATTACACTGAGGGAAGTGTATAAACTAGTAACTGGGTCTTGCACCCGAGGAAGAATCTAACCCTTCTTGCTATACCCAACACAAGTTTTCATACAACCTTACAACTTAGCCATACCTAGTTCCAACCTTCCCGAGTCCATGTCTCAACCACCAATAATGGCGTTTGATTCAAAAACATGCACACACACACCCACACTCATGTCAATGCCCATGAATGTGATGCTTCCCATGCATATGCAAAAGTAATGTACAACTACATCTAATATCAATAAACAACCAAGTTTTCAATTGCATTATCATCATCATGTTCCACATTTCATCATATTCTTGATGTCCATGTCTCCTTCAAAAATTACTTCCACATGGTGGGTCCCATGGCAACTCAAGAGAATTACTTTTCAAAAGAATCTTGCTTGAAATCCATCGTACCCAAGCCTTTCAATGAATTACCTTCACATGGTGGGTCCCTTGGCAAAGAATTTTGCTATATGGCTTTCCTTCCAAGACCAAAAAGTCTAACTGACTGGCGATGCAGCCCATTTTTTTGAAAAATCCCCAAATGATTAAACTCCTTGAGTGTAGTTGCTAAAGAACAGTAGCACTCCAGTTACAGCAGAAGAAAAACTGCAAAGCAACCCACTCCAGTCAAAGTAGAGAAACTCCAATTAAGAATAGACCTAAACCCGAAACCATTAATGTCTGAAACCATATTTATTATTCTACTTTGGGATTTTGAATGCTAGTATGGATTTTGGAACTAGTCATCCTTGAAGAATCTTCCCTAGATGAAACGTTGTTCAAAGCCAGTGCCAAAGCAGCCAACTCTTCCTCTTTTTGTTTCCTTTTCTTCTTAGCATTATTGAGCTTTCTCAGTAGTTCCTTGGACGTAGCCATAAAAGATTCACAATCTATAATTGGCTCTAAAACATCCTCCTCTCCATCAGAGAAAAAGCCTCTTGTGTTTTTATGAACAATAGGTTCTTTGGCATAGTCATCCTTAGAGAAAGTGCCATTTAATTTCAATGCTTGATGAATCTCTTCCCTGGACATTTTTGGGATAAACTCCTCTTGACCGTGGACACGCTGGTGAACTGCCTCCACCATCTTCTTGGTAACAAGCATTGGCTTGTACAAAGAATCATGATCCTGCTTATTTAGAACACATGGACCATAAACAATGGGAACCTCTTCCAAAGAATCTTCCATACCATACTCAGGATCATCATCTGAACTGGAAATCTCACCATCCTAATGATTCAAATTATTCAAATTGAAAGAGACCCTTCTAGCATCAAGAATTAAAGAACCCCTGTGGTTTGGAGAAGAAGAAATAGGATCCTTGTAAGACTCCTGTAACATTGTTGCTAAAATTGCAGCCTCTTTTTTTGCTACATTAACATTAGCATGAACAATAGCTTGAGCAGCTACATCATTTATTATACCTTCATACTGATTTCCATTTACATTCTCTACATCCGTTGGAACCATGGTTTCTGGAGCAGCAGACTCTTCATTTGCATTTACTGTCTCTGCATCATTTACCAAATGCTGAACGCTACAATCAACAACAAGAGAAGGGGCCAGTTCTCCTTGGGCTATACCCTCACCCGAAGTCTCCAATACCTACACATAGTCTTTTCCTAAGTGATTACCCTTTTCCATGGATCGTAAATCCTTTAATGAATTTTCCATGTTGAGAATTTGGATTTCCTATTCTTCTTGATTTTGCACTTCCGGGGTTGCTACTGTTTCCTTATTTAGAGCTTGATTCTCTGAATCTTCTTGATTAGGCAAAGATGAATTTGCTATTCTAAATTCTAAATTACCTTCACTTTCCTTCCCATTGTTATTTGGTTTCCAAATACCCTTCTGCTTATGAGCCTTATATACAGACTTAGATTGATTGTGAACTACTCCTTCCTTATTCTACTCCCTGGTAATATCATTCTACTAAACAAGTTTTCCCTTAATTGCAGTAGTGTTTCTGGGATTTGAACGATTCTTGCCTTGTGAATCCATTGGATCTGCTGAATCATTTTCTTGTACGCCTTTAGGAATTGTTGGAATCTTACCTTGTGAGTCTACAGGCTTAATCAATTTTCTTTTCCGACAATCATCTTCCCCATGCCCTTGTTTCTTGCACAACCTGCAATATTTTTTAGCTTTTTTGTATACAATCACATTTCATGAGGGCAATGTGAACCACTTAGATAACCATCACCAACCTCAATGTCAATATATCAAGGTGCATATACCAACATCAAATCTCAAGCATGCTATAACATAATCAATGCAAATAACACACTTAATTTGCAAAGGTATTTTATCAGACACCATCAAGGCATGAATATAAACACATAGCATGCCCAATCAATACAATTCCTAAGAAATCACAAATTAGTAATTTTTAAATACCCAATTCATGCTAAAATTGATTTTATCCATTTCCAATACTCATTTCCTCATTTCAACTATCATAGGCAAGGGTTATACGTGAAAATACATCTCTAACACGAGAGTCAGCTTCCTTAAGTCTGTTGTTCCTTAGTAGCTTAGTGGTAGAGCGGTCGAATGTTGACTGACTGGTCGTAGGTTCACCCTACCCATTTCATATATTAACCCTAGGTTGGAAATAAACCTAATTAGGAAAGGAACCCTACTTCTTGAAGCGTAAAACAATGGTAGAAAACTCCCAATACCCAAAATAAGCTTTAATCCTTGTTTTCTCCAAAATTTTGTCCTTGAAATTTCACCCAAATTTTTTATTTTTGGTATGGTCTTATAGGCCACGTCGAGTAGAACAATTTTTGTTCTTGGCCCGAGGTGATTTGACCAAAGGAACGTCGTAGATCGTAGAGAGAAGTTGGAGAAACTATAATTTTCCCTCTCTTCCCTTCTATTTTAGGAAATTTAATGGGTATGGGGAGAAAATCTATTTTTTTTCCCCTATTTATACCCTTTAGGTGCTTAGTCCTCATTGTGTCATACGTTCTCCATTCCTTTGTCCGCTTTTGTCTCGAATCAATTAAATTTCATCCCAGTTCAAGTTTAAAATAATTTAATTTGAACTAAATTTAAATTATTTTTTAATTTTTGAAATTTAATTTCTGGTCTCGTTTATTTAGGTCAAATGACACTCGATTGCCTCGTAAAACGTGAAATATCCAACTGTCTCAGAATTCAACGAAATTTGATAGGATAACTAGATTTCACGAGATGAATCTAACGATGAGGTCCATTTTGTCATTTGAGTTCTAAAAAAATTTGAGTTTTCAACCCGTACCGTAGTGACTAATTACTGTTTTGCCCTTTTCATAAAAATTCAAAATTTTCTGGGGTTTTACAAATTGTTCACTATGCTAAATAGTGAGTATAATGTTCATATCTATTTGGATATCATTTCACTGTCAAATTTTTGTATTTTCACTATTTAAATAGTGAAATTGAATAGTAAAATACGCACTTCACTGTTCAATTTATACTAAAAATGTTAGATATATTAACAAAACAAAAGTGGTGGATTGTCCACTATTTTAAACAAGAAAATCAAAATATCACCATCTTTTTACTAGTGCTAGCTTAAAGTAACAATTTTTCAATCTTATAATCAATAATGGCTTAGTGGAATGTGGAATAAACCCCCTAAAATTTTTGGATCTTTTGGTGAAAGAAGACTAAGGAATTAAAACATATGAATTGGTGGAGGAACACAAAGGAATATTCATGAATACATGATTGGTCTTGGCTTGATTGGAGTGTTGCTCCATTATTTTATGCTAATTAGTGGGTTTAATGGTGGAAGATTTTCTATAAGTCCCCGTACCAAATCAAAAAAATTACTATCATCTTAATAGTTTTCTTGGGATAAATAAAAATATGGTAGGGACTTCAAAGCATTATTGAATGATTGATCATGACGTTTGAGTTTTGCTCGCATTGATTTTTGTGCAAAAATTAGTTTTGGAGGCATTTAATCTTGAGAAGTGTAGCTATGAAAGTTTTTAAATATTTTAAGGTTGAAATAAGGCTACCATTGAATTCTAAAGGTCGAGAAACCTTGGGAGAGGTGATATGGGGTATATTAAACGTTTGAAAATATTTCGGAGTTAAAATGTATTTTGGGAAGAATTCGGGTAGGAAGCAATTTGACACTACCTCAATATTTTGGCTATAAAATTTTACCCCTGATGTTCGATTTGTGAAACTCGAAAAAAATTTTAACTTTTTCTGAAAAAATGGCAAAATGGTAATTTGTCATTATAGTGCGGGTTAAAAATTAATATTTTTCTAGACCTCAGATGATGAAACAGACTTCACTGTTTGATTCATCTCGCGAAATCTAGTTATCCAGATTAATTTCGTCGAATTCTGAAATAGTCGAATTGTTTACGTTTTTCGAGGTGACAGGTGTCCGGTGACCTCTGAAAACGAAATTTTATAAAAATTTTGAAATTTAGAAAATATTTTAAATAAATTTTATATAAAATATTTTGAGCTTAAATCAGTACGAAATTTAATCATTTCGGGGCGAAAACGGACCCGGACAAAGGACGACACTTGGTGCGACGAGGGCCAAGTCTTTAAAAAGTATAAAAGTGGGCAAATATCTGAAAAATTAGATGTTTTCCCTTCATTTGACCGGCTGGATCAAACCCAAGAGCAAAGAAGAAAAAAAATAATTCTTCAAGCTTTCTTCTGCCGATTCTCGGAGTTCTGTAGATCGGAATTCATCGGGCCAAGAATTAAAGTTGATCTACGCGACAAGGGCTACGCGTGGGTACCAAAAATAAAAATTTTCACCGAAGATCCAAAAGGAGAATTTTGGAGAAATCTAAGCTTTGGACTTGAATCTTATTCTTGAGGTTTCCTACGAATTCTTTACGCTTCAAGAGGTAGGGTTCCTCCTACTTGGACCTATTTATAACCTAAGGTGTCCACAGAGTTTATGTGGGTTGTTTTGGGTATTTATAACATTTTTCCATTATGGTTAGTATTATGAAAATGGGTAGGATCAATTCTAGTGTGAATTAGTAGTTAGAAAGTGCTAGTTTTGTGATTTCTAGAATGTTTCGATAATTGGTTATGTAAAAATCAAATATTTTAATTTTTATTTTATTTGAAATAGTCCATATAAAATCTTGGCTTGATTTTGGTATATGGAAGTATTTATGTAATCCCTTGGAAATTGGGATCATGTGGGCATGCTTTGTGCTTTATATTATGCCTTGTGAATGAAATGTGATATTAGCATGTATTATGTGTTATCATGTTGATGAAGTGTTGATATATGCTCTTGGATATATTGAACTTGAAATGGTTATGGTGATTATATGCAAATGATATAAATTACCATGGTATACATTGATATGTAAAAATTGTTCATTTGGCATGCATTGTAATATGGACATGGAATTGACATCACATTCATGGGCTACATGCATAAGTGTGGGTGTAGGGTTGCATGGGGTGATCAACACCAACATTGGTGCTTGATGGTGGGCTCGGGAAAGTGGGATGGAACGTCCTACGGAGTCGCACGGTTATATGCATAAGAAAACTTGTGTCGGGTATAGCAAGTAAGGCTAGATACTCCCTCGGGTGAAAAACCTGGCCACTTGGTTCATACACTCACCGACGGTGAAATTTCATAAAAGTGCAACGGCGTACGGAGCCGGAGGTGCGATTTCTGAATCCGATACCCTATAAAGGCACATGATTTTGATATATAAATTATTTGTTTGATGGGAAACATCCAAGAATGAAATGGTTTTATGACATATGGTTGATTTCAAAATGATCTTTGGATGTGTTTCATCAAAGACGTTGTTTTACACATATATGTTGCATTGTGTTGTGGGAGTCGGTGAGGACTTCAGTCAAAGTTGCATGAGTGAGTTTCATCTCATTTCATTGCATGGCATGGTGAATTCCAATATAGATTTACATATTCTTACTTGGAATGTTGATGTGAATATGAACGGTCAAATGTGAACATTACATGTGCACTTAGGTGGGGAGTAACCCTTGTAGAATGTATTCTATTGGGCGTTGGCTCACCCTATACGGGAAACATTTCAGATACGGGTCATACGTCGAGAGACGGCACTCACTCGGGCACTTAAGGAGGAAGAAAATCCGACTTGTGGCTTCCAATCCATTTCTTTTGTAAAAATTAGACTTGTAATTAAATTTTGGCATGTAATGTGTAAAGGAATTGTAATAGAGTCTATATGGACCGTTTTAATATAGTCTTCCATGTTTGTATGGGTATGGATAATTGAACCCGGTGTGGTCAATGTTTACTTATAAATAGACCCGGTGTGGTCATTGTTGAGTATTGGACCTCGGATGGGTCTTGTTATTATATAATGCACAGGTTGTGTTTTGAGTAGAGTTTCCCTTACAAAGGAGACTCTGCTCAAATTTTTAATAAAGGATGGACTCGGGTAAATGGGGCACAACGTTGAGATATCGAGTTACTCGGTATCCATGGGTATTTTGCGGGTTGATGGGTAATCAACGGACCCCCAGATTTTGGGGCGTCACACAATTAATTTAACATTGGTTTCATTGGAATGTAGACTTCAAGAGCTACAAAAAGGTGTTTCATGATTCTAACTGGG